TCTGTATCTATGAAGCGCCTTGAGGCGACTTTTGTTGTGATTTGGCGCTATATAAATAAAATTGAATTGAATTGAATTGAATTAACACAAGAATTTCCCAGCACGTGAGATAAATTGGGCGTGGTTAGAGTTGTTGATATTTTTTGGCCCATTGATAAGGCACTTCAAAGTTGGGTTACGTGAGTGCAATTTCATTCCATTTTGAATGGAAACAAGTTATTCTCGGTTTATTTTTTGTACTTTTTGGTTATCTTTTCTGTTATTCTCAAGTTGGTATGAGGAATCCATTTCTTTTTTAGTACCCATTTCACCTACCTCATCTCTTCCTTATATATCCCTTTAGAATAACTTTGCTTAAGGATACTATGTTAATAAGTCTTTCAGAAACAGAATGAGATAAAATCATGCCATACTGTACCTCGGATCACTGCATACCAGCCAAGGAGGCACTGCTTCAAAACACTGTTGTTGTCCTCTGAGACAAACCTCCTGCCATCTGACAACAAAAATTGGAGAAGACACTTTGTGCTAACACTGAACTTCTTACATGTATGATTCTCAGATGTACTGTAAAATAAAAAAGTCAAAGCTAACACAACTAACAGCTGAACTCAAGAGCTGCTACGGGAGATCAAGTGTGTTACTGATATGTTTTAATAAACATGGTTCTGGGGTGCACAAGCGAAATGAGAATTATAGGAAGTGACATGTATAACCAGATTTACTTCTTTTAAACAACCCTATCTCAACAAGCTTGAATCATAAGATGTTCTTTTTATTATTTCAAAATACATTGTGAAGATTTTGTGTTACAAAAGTATACAAGATGTAATGCATATGCAATAACAGTAAACTGAGTGCAAAAAATTGAGACATATTATTAAAAAGTTGGGATGATTGTTTTTTAAAAAGTTTAAATTAGACCTAAAATGAGTTTGACATCCCCGATATATAGACAAAAAGCGTCTGTGTTGTGGTTAAACTCACGTTTGCCCTTTAAGTACATCATGGACTGAGGGCCCCAGTGGATATTCAGCTGAAGGGGAAATACACAACAAATGTTTCCTGGTAAAATATGTGTTACAGAAAATCAGTGGAACAAGTGAGTGGCTATGAGTTTTACCTTCTGCGTATAACAGTAGTCAACAAACAGGCAGATGACTAAAGTACATGTCCAGATAACTGCCACTTTCGTCATCTGGGAATAAAAAGCAAACAAAAAAAATGTTTGTTGTCCAATATTTTGTATCCTGTACATCAACATGCCAACATTGTAAGAATCAGAGAAATGTGTTAAGCTTCATATCACTTTATCATGCTGAAGAGCTGAAATTGGCACATGTTGAATGTATGTTGCATATTTTATATACATGTATCTGTAAATAAAATGTTTTCAAAAATCCAAGAATAGGTTAACAAAGTTGTTGCCTTTAGTTTAATATAATTCATTCATTAATGACAAATCAGTAACACAGTAGATTAAAATAATTGTGTCTATCTAATTGAAATCCAAATATAAAATAATGTAGTAGCTAAAGACATGAAAACATGTCATACACACACACACACACACACACACATATATGTGCGTGTATGTGTATATGACATTTTCACAAAAAATACTAAAAAAGCTGATGAATCTACTTTAAATAGGATGCCCCCAAAGAAACAAAAAAAACCAAACTAATAAAAACACACACACACACACACACACACTTATTTCCACTTACTATATCTGCTGTAGCGATAGCATTCAATCCAGTTGCAGCATGTGTGAGTGTGGGTCAGAAAGATATTCCAGTCTGCTTATATCGCCAATGAAAAGCAGGAGTAACACGTTCGATCCAGCCCCACATGAAGCCTGGCAGGACTCCTGTTTACTAAGAGCTAAAAAACAGACTGACGTCAAGACTGTGATGTGCAGTGAGGAACATCAATCGTGGATCTGTTATATGAGGTCTATAAGTGGTGTGTTTGTGTGTGAATGTGTAACATTGTCCCAGTGAGTAACAGATATTTTATATTTTTACTGTTTTATTGCTGCTATTTTCATAAAATGTTTCCTAATATCAGAAATTATTATTCCTAAAAGTTTCTGTCATTCATTATCATTTATTGTGTCATTCGTTATCTGAGTCCATGGCCCTAATTTTCAGCTCACACATTCTAATAAACTGGAGATGTAAATGTTATACATGCATAACTTCACAACAATTAATGCATGACTTCTTTTCATGTGTGTGTGACACATGAAAAGAGGTAATTTTGCGATTTCGTTGACCAGGTGCTGTCCGCCGTGCTTCAGCATTTCTGCAGACACCATGTCCAGACCCGGTGCTTGTCCAAGTCAGTGGCTCAGTTGGGTGTACTGAAGGCGAACGTGCTATCGACTGGACAAGGTGTTCAAGTTCAAGTGTTCAAGGTGTCTTAGAAGTGTTACAACCAAAAAAACCCCATTATAGTAAATGTACATCTGAAAGGAATGGCTTTATATCAGATGCCACCACAACTACCTAAACTTTATTTCCACACAAGCTGATTATTTCTTTGGACAGTGTTGCAGCCTCAATGTGTGTAACACTTTCTTTTTCAGATCTAGTTGCTATCGGGAAAAGAAAACAGCTTAGAAGATTGGCTTAAAGTAGACATTGTAAGGTGTTGTGGTGCGGATGTGGAGAAGAGAGGACCCAAACAGAGGTTGATGAAGGATGTGCACATTTTTTAATGTAAAGGCAGGATGAACAAAACATGAGACTGGCTGACTGAAGGGTGAGCTAACTCAACTGGAAAACTGGCACGCGGGATTGACGATAACAAGACAATGAACTGAGGGAAACTGAGGGCTTAAATACACAGGCTAATGATGACGATGATAAGAGACTGGTGAGTACACAGCCGAACTTAATCTAACTAATAACACAGGAAGCAGAACAAGAGATAACGCACGTAGACAGGTGGTTAACACAGTAAGACAGGAAACACATGGAAAATAAACAGTGAATATGAACAAACTCTAAACACTGGGTCCACAACCCATGAACCTTGACAGACATAGAGATAAAGATGACTTTATTGTTGCTATACTTCGGCATCGTACTTTCTAGTTAGCTAACTTAAATTAATGCAGTTATTTTAGCAGCAACCAGCCAACCCGGTGATGTCACTCTCGCTGCTAGCACATAATAGTGCTATACTTCCTCTACAAACTTTAAGCCCTTTTTTCTTAAATCCAGCTTCAAAGTGTTGAGTGTCTCAGTGCTGAATTTGACAGCTGATCACAACAATTTCTATGCTGATCCCAGGAAATTTAGTGTGGTGATCAGTCAATAATCTGATAAGGCTAATTTGTTCAGTTTGTACCCTCGTCATGGTCCCTGGGTCAGAGTTGTTGTTCTGGACTTATTTTTGAAAGTGTAAGATAATGATGTCTGGTTCCTGAATATATTTTATAGACTTTCACGAGTTTTGTGTTTTAGCTTAGGTTGACTGTCTCTCACACAAAATCACCATGAAAACGCAGCACACATCCCGCCAATGACTCAATTCCTCATAAACCACTGAATCAGGAAGTTTTGGACATCACTGATCACTTGACTGTTCAGACGAACCAACCCTCGGCACAGTGTTTTTGAAGCAGTGTGTTGATTTTTTTTGACACATGCACCTGAGCTTCAAATGGGCCATCACTAATTTAAATTGTCTTTTTAAAGAGTTCCTGAATTATTTATAGTTAAAAATGTAGAACAAAAATATTGTTAAAGCAAAAATAGGCTTTGATTTCATCACCATTATCCACACAGGATTATTCAGACTGATAAGAAAATAACACTATGTACCAGATATCAAAGAATATCTTTATTATCTCAAGGCTAATTTATAAATAGAAACATTGACCTATATTAACAACAACAAAAATAACACAAGAATACACAAATTAAAAAAGATAAACACGTCTCTTATGTAACAACTCTGAAAGCTAAATCTGAAGCTTAAAATAAGAAAAGGAAATAGTGACATGAATTTACATTAACAAACATTTCAAAAAGTTATTCAAATTTCACTTTGACCAGTAAAAGCTTCCAGAAACCAGAGATTAAAACTTGTAAATATACAGATAAAGATCATCCAAGTCTACTTTTCTGAAGTTGCAAGCAATCGTTTTTTCCTATCTCTACAGTGTAGAAGTGTTAGTTTGTCTTTTTCTCAAACATGGCTTTAGCAATCTGAGAAAGACAGTGTCCAAACTCACACAGGACCATGTGCTCAGCCTGGGCAGGGCTCTGAGTGTCTCTCTCAGCCATCTCAGCCTGAGCAAAAAGACAGTCACCTACAGCCTCCACTACAGCTGGGGTTATCACCGATACAGGCCACCTGAGCACACAAACAAACATTCACAGACATGAGTACTCTGGTATTTTTTTTTTAATAAAATAAATAAATAAATGGGCTTGTTAATTCAAGCCATGTTAAAAAGAAAATCCATAAATACCTCTAATTTTAAGTAGATGAGTACCACTTTCATAGAATTAGTGAGATCAACAACTTAGAGTAGTTTAGGTTGTTGATCTGTTTGTTAACATAAAATTTTCTGCTCCAGCAGTAGTGTGAGAGAACATATTTAAGTGCTTGATATCTAACATTCACACTCAAATGGATAATGAGTACCTTGTGGTTAGTATCTTGCCTAAGCTTATTTGGCATGTAGTCTGGAGCAGGCGGGGATCGAACACCAACCTTCTGATTATTAGATGGGAGGGCAGAAGGAGATAGATCAAAAGCTCCACTATTGAAAAGAGCCAGAGTTTAACCCTAATTAGTAATGATTAAATGCACAAATGATATATATACACATAGAGAAAAGAGGTGAAAAGAGGTGAGTGGAGAAGAAACAGTGCATCATAGGAATCCCTCAGCAGCCTACACCTATTGGAGCATAACAAAGGGAGGATTCAGGGTCACCTGATCCAGTCACAACTATATAAGCAAAAAGCAAAGTTTTAAGCCTAAATTAAGCAGGACCAGGCTGAGCGGCAGACCAAAGTGCTGGAAAATCTGGTTGCTCTGCCGCTACTCCCCCTTGGCACCAGTGATGATGCTCTGCAGGATGTGGGTACTCATATACCGCTTTGTATTAGTTCTGGTGAATATGCAACACGATATCCCGAAGCAGTGCTGAACCTAAGAGCAAAGCTACACATGTTGGGGAGGTTATCACATGAGAATTTGCTCCAGGTTCAGGAACGTCACCAACACTAAGCCCAAATGTAGCAACTTATTAGCATGAAACAATATTCAAAATACGTTATTCCCCCATATAAAATTACAATTTTACTTTACCTCTTTAGTGAACATCCTTGGTTCTCATGTGGCTAAGCGTCCTGTGTTATTGATTACTAGACTAATTGCTAAACTCTGATGAAAAGGCATGGTGATGCAGCATGGTACAACACTTGTGTTTGCAACAACTGACACCAACTTCTGTCTGGTCTCTGAGAAATGCATAAGGTGTCTCTGGTGTTGATGCTTTGATACACTGATACTGGCCATAGTGAAAAGAGTGTTACTTCCAATTTGTTCACACACTAACCGTAAAAGACACCTATGTATCTCTGTGTTGACACAATGACACTATTTCACACCCTGGTTTGAGATTACGTTTGCCTAATCATACCAATTCTCTATGATTTTCTTGTGTGGGCTTATCGAAAAGAAATACTTTCATGACTCACTTGTCCTTCGCATTGACATTCTCGTCTTTGGAGCCAGTTTGTGGGCCTGCGTCATAGTTCCTACAGCCAACACACTTACAGCCGGAAGTACACATGATGTTTGCCTAAACACAAATCAAACAAATATAGGTGAATTTTTTAACAGCTGATTCATGATCACTGGTATTCTTACTTATGCTTTAAAGGTAATGTAATTTTTAGTCAGATATCTGCAAAGACCCAAACTGACATTAGTACAAACAGCATGATATCATTAAAATAATATGGTCAGTTGTGGAGGCTGCCAAAACAGGTACATGGAATGTCAATGGTGGGGAAGAAGTCTGATAGCGGTAGTGCGAGGTTCAGAGGTAGTGGCTGGATCAAGCTCACCTCAGCACAGCTTAGGTCAGGGGTCACACCAACCTTTTTGAAAGTGAGAGCTACTTCTTGGGTACTGATTAATGTGAAGGGCTACCAGTTTGACACACACTTCTCAAATAACAAATTTCCTCAATTTAACTTAATTATGTGTTATCATTAATAATTAATGATATTCATGTATGTAAAGACACTAATTATGTTAATTATTTTTCACCATAATTATAAAGAATGCAAGTAGGAAACCAGGTAGGAAACAGATAAATATCAATATGCAATGTTTATTTCTATAAATCTCTGCAAGTATTTACATTTTGAAGTGATCACTTCTACAACATTTTCACTTACCACTAACAAATTTTAACAAATCATGCACTGTTACATACATTATTTTTGTATATATGTAACATACAAAAATCAACTTTCAAGTTTTACAGAACTTTTCACCAAATTGGCAGCATTTTAAAGAAAATTGTCACATGTTACACTTAACAAACACATTTGTTTTTCAATAATTAAATTCAACTTTGACACGACACTGGCTCATTCACAAAGATAGGTTGAAGATAGGTTCGAGACTGTGATTATCGATCTGAATATGAATGGTGTTTTGTTATTGGACTTCTGTAGTAATCACAGCTTTTTCCATAACCTACACAACATTCAGGCATATGCGTATTCATGAGTGCACTTGGCACCAGGACACCCTAGGTCACAGGCCAACGACTGATTTTGTAATTATATCATCACATGTAGATATATCTTAGATTGTAGGGTGAAGAAGTACT